AGTTCAGTTCATACATTCATTTCCGTTCGTTTTTATTCACTTATTTTTATTCATGGTTTTTCATTCATTCATTTTCGCTCACTCATTTTCACTCATTAATTCAAATGATAGATTTGTTCGGATTATGGGCAGCAGTTTTAAGAGGTTTGACTTTTTCAATCGTTATGGTCCTTCACCAGCTGGCAAGTTCTGTTGGATTGGCAGGCACGACTGTAGCGCGAAAAGGACCTCAGGAAATCCTCGTTGGAAATATAGTTTTTACGATATTTGTCTAATCAGAGTTTTTGTCTGATTTCGAACGACCGCTGATCAGATCGGCCAGCGCTGTTTGCAGCCACATAAGGCTTGCACGCTCGATCAGCATGACTAGGGAACATTTTCATAAGATTTGGTAGGATCAAGCATCAGGACACCGTGACATCTGAATTTGTCATAAATGTATTTGACTACTCTCGTACACGCAATCTTAATGCGCATCCGCACAAGCTGACCTGCACGTTATCGAGGCTTACTTCATGATAAATTTTGTCACGTGTGTTTTGTCACTACTGAGAGGTTTCTTCGAACCTGCTGATTTAGTGATTCTCAACAAGGTTCGAGACACCTTCGGTTGTGAACCGCTGCTTTCACACTTTGAGAGATCACAGTTATGACAGTATGAATGGATATCTGATGTGAATTCCATGGGATGGACTCCCCATGACCTCTCTCATGAAAAAGCTACGGGGAAGACGGACCGGACCAGACTGGACACTGGATGTCACTTCTTGAAATCTAAACCACAGAGCTCGCCGGTTAGACGGGCGACCGCCATTTCAAAGGCCCCCATGACTCAGAAAGGTTAGCTGACTTTGGAAAAGAATAAACGAAGTTATGCAATATAATTGGATTCAAATCAATCAGTTAAAAACGTTTGCTGCTGAAAGTAGTGGAAATGACTTAAAACATCAGCAGCGAACATCAACATTTACTGGAGCTTTGGGATGACGATGAAACGAGGAATTTGTGATGATAACGATGAGGCGGATTGGTGGATAGAAGGTTAATCCAGATAAATATCTGAATGTATGGGTTAACAGTGAAAGGATCGATTCGAGCAGATTCCGCCTTTAACGTTTCTCGTCGTGGGGAGTGAGCCGTCTGCGGGATCACAGTTTTTATGTGCGTTTCAGTCTTCGTATAGAAGCAGACATAGGGGCTTGTTGAATGAGATCTCAAAGTACATTTTGAAAATGCTAGGTGCAGGCGATGGAAGGGGTCAGTGATAATAGATTTGCCAAGCTTTATAGCTGATTTTATAACTTTGATCTGCCGCTACATTTACTACATTCATGTGTAGGACAGTTGCTTTGCTCTGCCGACAAATTGTAGAGCCGATTGAAATTTACGTAGGTCCACTTCACGAAAAGGAAGGAGCACCTTAGCGAAGCATATTTAATTTGTGTTGGTGTAAGTGTCTAAGAAACATTTCCCTGATTTCTCTGTGGGGGGTGGGTTTGTAATGGAGTTAGAAGTTTCAGAATGTAGCTGCACTTTTCTGTTTTGATGACTGCTTTTTTTTGTGTTTACAGAAGTGCACCTTTCGTTTCAAATGACACCAAGAACAGGCCTGTGCTGAGAACCGTGTCATTGAGTAACCCATTTTACACTGTCAATTCCTGAATTGAAGCACATTAATTTATTATATAATTTATGAAATTAATGTTACATAATTGAAGTTAGGTGGAAAATTCCATCGGTTTAAATAACGTTGAGTGACGTTTGACGAAGTTTCCGATCCATTTGTGTTGAAACGTATTTTATGCCAGCCGTATTTCTTATAGCACGAATGTGACTAGACTTCGAATCCGTTGTCGGTCATTGTGAGCCAACGATGTCTGACCTCTCATCTTACTATGGCTTTGTACCATGGGTGCTGTAGATGACTAATCGATTTCAGACGAGTCTTCACACGCTGGTCGTGCTAGATTTGCCATGTATGACCTCCGTTAACAGATTGAGGTTCATACATTGGACCACAGGAGCACGAGTTTTATAGCAATTTCGCTGCACAAACAAATGAACCATTGATTGATTGATTGATTGATTAGTAATCTCTTTTATGACCACATAGCAGCGTGTTGTATGTTCGTCCACTGGGGAGGATCGTCCACTAGTTGGTCTTTGGCTGCTTAGTAACGATGATTGCCTGTATTGCTGCAGTGACTTTTGCGATTCTGCAACGAAAGGAATTTCGCATAATGCGTCGAGCCGTCGTGCATGTTTTTCCTGGCAGTAAGATTGGCCTCATTGACGGGGTAACTTTTTTTAGTAGTCTCTGCAGCGCGGCGGCTTGCTAGCTAGTTGCTAACCGATGACAGACATTACTTCACGCGAAGTTCAAACGGTAAGTCTTTTTGCGTTCGGACGCCAGAAGCAAAGTCATCACCATTAAAGTGCGCACTGACGCGTAGCACAGGTCAGTGCCACCTGTCTGATCTAGAATTTCCGGAGGAGCAGAATCTTATCATTGTACGAAGCGTGCAGTCGCAAGGTCCCAGACGTTGATTTATTTTTTGTTACATTATGAATCACATTTTACAG